CAGTAGGGTCTGGGGAGGGTGTGTGTACGCAGACCTTGCCCCTACTCGGAAGTAGGGAGGCTGTTTCCAAGAGACCCCCGGCTCCACCTGCACAAAAATATGGAAGAGAACACAGTATAGCACAGATAAGGCACCAAGTACAAGCAACAAGTACAAACAATAGCAAAAGATTCCCAACAAATACAACACACTACAAAACAACCTCTACAACACCGAGCTCCTATCCAGCTACTCTAATCCTAGTTCTCCAAAGGTTCCTATCTAGGGCCATATCCTCAGTCAGGTCGAGAAGTCCTAAATCCTGTCTTATCACCTCCTCCCAATTCTTCTTAGGTCTACCCCTTCCCCTACTTCCCCCGATAACCGTAATCCTCTCGCATCTCCGTACAGGGGCGTCAGCATCCCGCCGTCTCACATGGCCAAGCCACCTCAACCTCGCTTCCCGCAACTTGTCTTCCACCGGTGCCATACCTACTTGACGTCGGATAACCTCATTCGAAATCCTATCCAACCTTGTCTTCCCGCACATCCATCATAACATCCGCATCTCCGCCGCATGCAGACGACGCACATGAGTCTTCTTAACCGCCCAACACTCTGCCCCATATAACATAGCAGGTCTGACTACGGATCGATAGAACTTATCTTTCATTCTAGGCGAAATCTTCGGATCACACAACACCCCTGAAGCTAACCGCCATTTGGCCCAAGCCACTCCAACCCGATGTCCAACATCCGCGTCTAACTCCCCATCCGCCTGAATTACCGAGCCAAGATAACGAAACCTGTCTACCTTAGGTACTAGGTATAGATCATAAGAAATGGACGTCCCAATTACAATTATTGTGTATATTTTTCAACTAAAACCAAGTAGAAATAAAAACCTTTCTTATCTTTTCATGCTTAGCAATTTAGCATACAGTTATTTTGTTCATCCTACTACCACTATCCACTTACTCCCAAAAACAAAATAACAAACAAAGAACACATGAGAACACATAAGAACAAAGATCAGGGCTGGTCATACTTGAAATGTAATCTAATGTACCCTAAACTTTTTTATCCATTTATATGAAACACAAAAAACTACTAAATTATATGGTAGAAAAAAACATAGCAAGTTTAGATAAGAGAAAAGCACACGGTGCTTTTTGGGTTATAGTTGACGATGATTAATGTTTATAGAGTGGATGAAGTGGGGTCTAACTTCATTCTATAAAATATACATCATGGTATAAAACATACTTTTTTGTTTTGCAATTGCCCTCTTTCTTTTTTCAGAATTGAAAACTCAGAAATTTAAAATACTAATAAACACAAAAAAAATTGAGAGTAGGTTTTATGTTTTATTATATAGAGAGAAATTTGGGGAAAATACCTAAGCAAATAAAACACTTACTAAAAAACTCCTTTTATATATATAACAGATCGACATACCTTAGTGAGGATGTGAAATAACGTCAAAAACCTTATTCAGACATGGCTACAGAACAGCTTCTGAAAATCAAAGGAAAGTAAGGGAATTTGAAGAATAACACATACCGTAAATGGCTCAGGATGTCTTGTCAAGCATGGCTATGGAACAGCTTTTGAAAATCAAAGAGAAGTTAGGGAACCATTCTGAAATCAATGAATAAACTTAAACGGAAAGCAATCAACAAATTTAAAGATCGTGAAGTATGCTACTTACATACACCCTGAGATATGTTGCTTGCATATTCGACAATCAGTCCAAGCAACAAACTATTTTGTTAAAAAACATCATGAAATATGCTGCTTGCATCATAATCACCAACTTTAGCACAGAACCTCCCATGTCAACTTGAAATCAAATACAACACCGTTATAGAGTTGTAAATTCTAGCTTTTCATGCCAAAGAAGAACTGGTAGAGTTCAGGAACTTAAAGGGGGTGGCACAAACAGACAATATGAATCAGGCTTCTAGATCTGTTAGATTCGCAAGTAGCAAAGCATTAATGATAAGAACAAATTTGTGAAATACCTATAAACGTAACCTGTCAACTTCAAGTTTATTAGGGATACTAAGTTTCCTGAAAGAACTTGGGCATCTCCATATTTGATTTCTGTCCATATAGAAATATACATAAGAGAGAAATATACATAAGAGAGGAATTAAGCAAGTGGCATGAAAGTAAAGTGAAAGGGCTAGAGAAATGATTTGATTATCATAAATATACAGTTATGCTGTAAAGTTTTATCCTTACTCAGGAAATCAGTGCCTAAAAAATCCGTGCCATTTTACGAAGTACTACGAAGTACTATGTCAATGAGAGAAAAGAAACATGAGGTGAGACTTGGGAGAAGGAAATGGTGGATGAGAAAAATTGGTAAGGGAGAAAGATGAGGTGCGTGAGTACGCCTATTAAATGCACCTTTTCTCAAAATAGGAAACACGACAGGTTGTGAGTGTGTGTGTGAGTGTTACTTCTGTTCATGTAGCCACCCACTGAATTATGATGAAGGGTGGGATCTTGTTGTTCTCGTGGGATTTTGCTGGATTTGTTGTTATTTGCTTCTATCTTGTTGATTGATGAACTTCATAAGGCTAAGAGTCTGATCAAAATTAACAACATATCCAAAGGGGATGCATAAGCAAAACAGATTAGGCTACTGGATTAAGATGTCAAAGCCACAACAGTCTATTGCATGTGTTTGAAAAGACAAAATAACAACATCTTCTTCTCCCTATCAAGTATTCTACTAAATTTAAAATGCAAAAGCCACTATCACAAATTAAAAGTCCTTACTGTTAGTTTGATCAAACCCAAGACCCAATAACAGTCCTTACTACTCCAGGTATTTCATATATATGTTATATGTGATGAGAAGTAAATGACACATAATGAAAAATCATGACCGAATTAACAAATCTGCCATAAAGGAGGCCAAAGGAAAAGAAAGCAAAATACCTTACATGACAAAAAAATTGTTGTCACAAAGCAATTTGAAAGTAAATACCATTGTAAACTACCAACTTAAAGGGAAGAGAAAGCAAAATACCTGTGTAGCACTGAAACGGAAATGGGGACGGAGACGAAACGAAACGGACACGCCGAAACGACTATTTTGAAAAAATGAAGAGACGAAACGCCGGGGAAACGCCAAATTTATGTATAAAAATTATATATATATAAATAAAATTATGTAAACAAATTCACAATACATAACATATTTTAGTCATTACAAAACATATTAAAGTATAAGTTCACAAGACATATCATAATTTAGTCATTACAAAACATATTAAAGTATAAGTTCAAAAGAGATAACATAATTTAGTCATTACAAAACATATTAAAGCATAAATAAGTTCAAAATACATAACATAAAATCCAGAAGTCACTGACCAGCGGAGTAAGCTTCTCCCTTTGTCTGCGAGAAGCTTATTTGGAGAGAACACTTCACCTGATGTCGCGCCCTTTGTCGGCGAGTAGTTGGCCAACCAGCTGCGTAAAGCTTCTTCGAGGGCCGCTGTCTATTGTCGATGAATATGATAGCCGCGCAACATAGAGGAGCGATGAAGATTTAGGGCCAGATAATACTTTTTATAATTTGAGTCAGTTCCAAAACTTTTAAAATTTATAAAAAGAACCCCATTTTTTCAAAAGAGGTGTCCCTGCCGTTCCTTTAAAGCGACACGCGTGTCCCAGCCGTTTCCTTGGCGTTTTTTCTCTTTTTTAAAAATTAAAATTACAGAAACGCCATGTGGAGTTTCCGAGACGTCTCCAGGCGTGTCCGTGGCGTGTCGGCGTGTCCAAGGTGTCCGAAACGGGTACGGCAGCCTATATGGATTTTCCGTGCAACATAGCAAAATACCTCATATGAAAAATCTACATGACTTGGAATATAAATAAGATTCAAGAAGTATGGCTCACCACCATACATGAAACACATCTGAGAAGCCTGGAAGAAGAATAAAAAATCAATTTATCTCAACTGTGGAAGATTGATTTCAGGCATATAGAAGGGAAGTATCTTTTTTATGGTTTGGATTCATTTTTGTCAGTAGATATTTATGCTTTCTTTGCTTTGACATTATTTACTTTTGTTCTGACATTTAATCTCATATTTTTTCCCTATAATAAACTTCATTTCATAATTCATAGAATTGATAAGAAATTCCAACTATAATGTTTGTGTAATTTATATACAAAAAAAGAGGAGTAAAAAATTTAAAAATTTAAATTACTACAAATTTACCTAAGTGCGAGGAGGTTCAGGTGCGACGGGGTGGTGTCCAAGACTTCACCTCTGCAGAGAACTGGTCGGACTTCAAAGCAGTAGCCCAAATAAAACATACTACTACCTCCTTGTCAATCAACACCATGTCAGAAGCATCCCACATTTGCAAGAGCCGGAACCTTGATCATACAGCAACTACCTGCCTTACGGGTGAGATTTTGGACTGGAATACAAATCCTCTTTTTCTTTTTGCTAATTGAACCCTTGATGATGGGTGCCATGCCTAGACTCTGAATATCACTATTAATATAATAAACACTCCTACCAAATCCAACACTTTACAGAGACAAAGTGTAAGAGAGGTTAAAGGAAATGAAGAAAATTACTCCAAAATTCTTAGAAAATCAACCGATTGTACCATGTTCGAATTAATTGAGATCTAATTTTCCTCTCCAGACTCGGATGGCAATTACCTGAAACATCAACAATTTTCACGAATATGAGTAATTGGAATATAATTCGAGTAAAAAAAATACTCCGTAAATATATTTGGAGTAGCTGAAGAAAATCTAGGGATTTTTTAGGTCAAGAGATCCGATGTTATGACACCGAGCTTACCTTGAGTATGATGTTCCACCGCCTCTTGAAGTTCCCTTCTCGCGAGTACTCCCTTCCACGCTGCTCCACAAAAGACAGGCGAGAATTGGTTCCCGGTTGGCAGCTCTGTCGCTCACCGGCCATCCAAGCAACGACAAATATGACCTCCAACATTAATTTTTAACACTAATATTGTTTTAGAAAACATACCAAATAGTATATCCAAGATCAACCAAACAAACTAATGCCAGGATCGTGCCATGTAAGGCTAAAATTAATGGTTTTGCTATAGAATCAATATGAACCGTAAAATCTTAGAAGAATACGAATTAAATATGAGGAAAAATTTCCAAAATTAAGAATTACACTGGAAATCATCCAATGAAGAGAATCACCTTCTCCAGGAATTACACTGTAAATTAGATTCACTTTCGACATGGAGGAGCATCGACTGAGAACTCAGAGACTACTTACCTTTAGCGTGAATAGTTACCACTTTCGGTGAAGAAGAGATGAAGCATCTCAATTTTGGACCTCACTCAGAGAAGATCCGTGGAGATTCTACGGGAGTTTCCAGCGATCAAAAGGGATGTATTTTTGGACAATTTCCTTCCAATAAGCAGCGATCCGTGTTGAATAGTTTCCTTGCAGGTTTTCTTTCCTTCTGCGAAGAAGATGGTCGTGAAGATGAGAAAAGAATCGGTAGTTCGGTACTGGGTCTGGGGAGAGCTTTAGCTTTCATTGGACGCGTGTCAGCTGACGTGTAATCAAATTAGGAGCCTTAAATTGCCACATGTCATCATTCTAAACAATCAACTCTCAAATTTTATATTAAAGGATTATTTCATTGAGTTAGTATTTTTACAATTTTTTAATGCTTATAATTTTTTACTTTTATAAACCGAAAAACTGAAATAAAAACCACATAAAACTGAATCAAATAACCAATGATTTACATATTTTTTATGTAAATTCAAATCAAACTACCAACTTAGCTTTCATTTTATCTTTGATTTTATGTGAAAAACCAAACTGCCAAAAAACCGTACCATCCTTAATCACCTCTAAGAAGGCCTACCCTCGTTCTAACAATTTTCACAAATCCTGCGTGATCGCCGGTTTATGTTGTCGCTTTATAAAGTGGGGCGTGAACTTTTGACTACCCCGTGGGCCGTGGCATATATTCCCAGCGACCCACTTCCAACGGTAGAATAAAAATTCACTGGACTCTGTCAAAAAGGCACAGTAAAAGATTAGAAGAATTTACAGGACTTGGCCGATCCCAGTCCTAGTCAACCCGGCCACTGACTCACTGAGAGCTTCTTCCCCAACGCAACCAGCTCCCTGGTTCTCTCCTCAATCCCGTTCGTCTGCGGCTGCAGAGATGAGCCTCTCCGTCGCGCAGGTAACGTTTCCCGACATGTAGTGGAATGACGTTTGTTTGTTTGTTTTAGCTGTATCGCTGATGCACTTTCAATTGCTCGTCGATTAATTTCTTGTTCGGATACTGATTAGGGATTCACGAAGTCACTGGCGATGACTGTTCTTTCGGAAATCGGAGACAAAACGTTTTTTGCAGCTGCGGTGAGTTCGTTTGGCTGCAATTCTTTGTGTTACATTCAATAGTTTTGTTAGATTATTGGGTACGATTTCAACTGAATCAAGTCTATTATTACTCTATATTATAACTGAATCAAGTCTATAATTACTCTATATTATAACTGAATCAAGTCTATAATTACCCCTAGGTTAATTCTATTTATAACTTTCTCAGAGGCTTATGTTATGCATGTTTGTATACTGTCTCTGTAACAAACTTTGATGGAAGATGTATTTTTAAGAATGCTTTAGGTCAACAGAAATGAATCTGGCCAGTGATTTGCTTGGAAGGTTGAATAGATTCAATTGTTTGTTGAAAATATTAAATATAGCAGTCAAGCTCTAAGTAAAATTGGAAAATATCAAACGCAGTTTGCGACATAGCCTACTTCCAGTTTTTCAATTGTACTTCATATTTCATTTCAAGTTAATAAACTATTATTAGTATTTACAATAACATTATTTTGAACTTCTAATAAAAATTGGCAACAACTATAGAGAAGTATTCTCGTAGTAGCCTTGTCTTTTCAGGGGTTTAATCCAAACTATATGGGCTAAAATTCGTTTATTAATCAATAAGCAAACATTGTAGGGTAGGTTGTTCATGTAGTAAAACTATACATAACCTAAATTTTGGCATTTTGCTCTTCTAACGAGTTAAATAACTAGCAGTTTGGTAGATTAAAAAACTATGTTGTATTTTGGTATGGTTTTTAGTTTTATCATGCGAAACTGAATTAACATAATATAGTTTTCTTTATGGTATAGTACATATATTTATATGGAGTATGTAGAATACATTACATATTATTTATAAATAAATATTCACTTGATATTATACACACATGATTATACACGCTGGTGTGCATGAACGGCAACATACGCACTTAAATCCCATGTATGTGTGTGTGTGTGTGTGTGTTTCTAATACTCCATATGATAATAATTTGTATGTGTGGCTGTGGGTGAATTAGTATATAAACATACACAGAATTTTCCCATGACTAACTTGTGGGACCTCACCGGGGTGTTGTTGTACACACAAAGTATTGATCAAATAAATGTAATCTAGTGTACTATATTTAAGGGGTTAAAATCATTAAAAAAGTTAAAAAGAGGTGACAAAGTAATAATTAAGTGCAACTTTTCCCACCATGTTTTTACTGGAAAAGTGCACATCTTGATACTATTCATTGTTTACTTTTGTAATTAATGCGCCTGATTTCTTGCCCTTTCACATTTTAATAAGAAGACTATTTTTTACTTCAACCATACTTCTAGACACAAACATGCCTACACACCGACATGTAAGTGTGTGCACACACATGCACACATGATACATGCATGCATCTGTGTGTTTGAGTTTGTGGCACATGTTTAATAAAAAAGAGTATGTGGTACATACCGAATTATCAAAAGAAAAAATTCATGTTGAACTGGAAACCAGAATTTTGGGAGATAACATACTGATTACCCAAATAAAAAGTTTGGTTTGGTATTTGACTATTTGGCATGTACAAGATCTTCGGTTTCAGTTGATTTACTGAACTGTGAACACCCTCACTTTAGCGGTCAAAGCACTAAAGTCAGAAACTGATTGTACCACCCTACTGTGGCATTTTATACCGTTAAAAAAAATATGCTAAAATCAGTCCAAACTTCCTATTTTAGTTAAATGCTACGTATCAAACAAGAAACAAGGAAACGACTAGGTAATTGAGGCCTGCAGGTGTGCAATGGTAAGGTTATTCCGTGTATGAATTGAGATAGAGCCTCTTTGTGTATGAATGGGGAAGGCCATTTACGACTTCCATACCCTCATGAAGCAGGGAGCCTTGGCATGACTGTTAGTTGGCGGTTCTCTTTCTAGTTCTGTCTCAAAATATACTGGAGCTTTGCCTAAGAACTCATCACAAATCCTTAACTTTTGAACTTATTACTCCCTCCGTCCCACTTGAAACTTCTCAGTTTGACTTGGCATGGTTTTTAATGTAATGCTAAAATTGCTTTGACTTTCCACATTTGCCCTTTTGTTTTTATCCTTCCAACCCCACATCACCCCTGCAAAGTTTCATTCTCAAACCCACCCACCCACCCCTGCAAATCCACCGACTCCGTTTTTGAAGAGATTGGGCTCAAAATCAATAGCTAATGAAATTGAAAAAAAATTAAGAGATAAGGTGAGATCTATTTTAAATCCGCCATGGTCGTTGGGACTGTCATCACCTCATCGCCCGAAAGCTTTTCCGTTACCGCTGCCACCTGATCGTGAAAGCTTTGTCCGAGGAAGAAGGTGAATGGGAGCCAGATCTGTAGGTTTTCTAGCTGGATCTTGCTAAAAAAAATGAAATTAAAACCATTTCACAGTGAAAGGACGGACTGGATTTAGTGCCCGGATGATGGAGGAACGAACTTCTATATCAGAATCCTTTGAGCCGCTACATGTGGCCGACGCTGGCGAAGAAAAAGAGGGGGGGTGATGTTGAAGATGTGCGGTGGGGGTGGGCGTTGATGAACACAAAGGTTAAGAAGAAGAAGAAGGTGTGCGGGTGGAGGGGGTGGTTGAAGAAGAAGGAAAGAAAAACTGAAAAAGAAAAGAAAAAGAAAAGAAGAAAAAGGGGAATGGTGGGGTGGTTGGGTCTGATCGAGAACAAAGAAAAGAGGACAGAGGAGTTGTGGAGGAGAGAAAAAGAATAAAGGAAGAAAGGGTAAATTAGTAACTTTAAATAAATTTTAATTCCATTTTAGGAAACGGGAAGAATCAAGTGGGACGGCTTAAAAAGGAAAGTGAGAAGAAAGATATGGGACGGAGGGAGTATTATTCTGATACACATGATTGAATGAAATGGCCCTACAAGTTTCATAAACTTTTATCTTCCAACTTTATTATAAATTCACAACACCCGACTAAACTTTGAGCTTTGAATCTAGATTTAAAATTCAAGCAACATCCTAGTTCTTAAAACATATTACGATGTTATATTCTTAGCTTTCTTATGAATGCAATGTACTTCTATCGTCTCCAGTTTTATGTTCTTGACAACATTAATGTTATCTCTAGATATTGGCAATGCGACATCCAAGGAGACTCGTCTTGGCAGGTTGCCTTTCAGCATTAATTGTAAGTGCTTTCTTTGTGCTTTTCTACTCATATCCATTTTTCCTCACTGCTTAACCACATCATATATTTATTTTCCTCATCTCCCACAATAGAAATTAAACCTTTTTGCAGGTGATGACAATTCTATCTGCAGTTGTTGGCTGGGCTGCTCCCAATTTGGTAAATTGTTATGTTTCAATCCTTGCTAAATTTGCATTGAAGCATTCTATCACATGTATGAAACTTTATCACATGTATTAATATAAATATAAATAGATAGATTCCTATTACCGTAATAATAAGGGAGCACTACAAAGATGTTATTTTAATACAATTCTAAATAAGAGATATATCTAATCATGGTGTTCTCTAGGGTTTGGTTTTCTTCTAGTTGAGTTATGGAGTTGTTCTTGGTGATTTGTTCATTAGCCATGGATTTCTCTCTCTTGGAAGTGGTGATCCATTTTCTGTTTTGTTGTTGATTGTGCTTCTCCTCTCAATCCATTAGCCACCTATATGTTTTTTTCCTAGTCATCATTTTGTTGATCTTTGTTGACGTTAATGGTGTAGCCCCTTAAACCACTTCCATCCTTTATGTAACGTTTATGTGGAATCAATTGATCCACATGCCCTTGTAGACTCCCTTGCTACCCCCGAATTCCCCTGTTGGCCTCTCTTGAAACCTTGAGATTTGATTCACAAGTTAATGACTTGTTCAATTCCTAGGCGTATGTCTATTAATCTTGCTAATATCAACTAAATGTTTGTGTCATAGTTTTGTATTATTGCTTTTCTTGGGAGTTGTTGTTATGTATTAACATGGTTTGGTGTTGTTTCATGCTTTCATTTATATAAATCTTTTTTCTTCCAAGAATGAATAACATAGATAGATAAATAATTTTTTTCCCTAGTATTGTAATAAGAAAGACATTAAAAATTTAAATTTAATATTTTTGATTGCTAGACTTTGCATTTAGAAAATCTAAATAATGTAACAAATGTTTTTTTGTAAATTGATATATGCTATGACTACACCAAACCACAAAAACCAAGATATCCCACTCTCCAAGTATATGACCTTAGATAGGAGTTTTGGAGAGCTAGGAATCCTAGGATTAAGGTGCTTGGGTAGATACTTTAGGTTTGGTGGTAGTTTATGCATTTGTTGTTGTGTGTTTCACTATTTTGTATGCCTGGTGCCTTTTACATCATGTGCTTTGCTTATGTGCTTCTTTATTTTTCTTCATTAACATTAGTTTGCCCTTTGCCTCCTTGTACTCTGTGCTTTCCACGCTTTATGTGCTTTATCCGTTTTACGTGTCTTCTGTGATCACTGATCATATATTATCTTATGATATATGTGCTCTTTGAGTGGGGGATCTCTTGGAAACAACCTATCTACTTTCGAGTAGGGGAAACTGGAAAGGTCTTCCTACACACACCCCTAGACCCTACTATGGCGGGATTCAACTAGGTTGTTGTTGAATTCACTCACTGTCCCTCTTCATTGCCCAACATTGAGACATAGTTCATTGAATGACAACCATGTAAAGTCTACCCTTCAATTTCAAGGAGACTTTTCATATAGCACCCTGTTCCCTAGAGGCAGCCTCCACTTTGACCATCCTACCTTATTACAGTGAGCGATGTCCTCTTTGATATCTCTCCTTTTGGGTAATATGCTTCAAGCATCATCAAGGTTACATTCAGTGTTATTAAGTCGTCGAATAGTCATCGACTATGTGATTGGGTTGCTTGAGTAGATCCATTGCCACCATGAAGTAGATCCCACTGCCGTGATCGCTCGTCATCGCCGCGGTTGCCGTACGCCATTGCCGTTGTTGTTTGTTTTGTAGGATTTGGTCTTTCATTTGGTTCTTTCAATTTCCCTTGTTTCTTTTTATTTTTCTCTCTTTTCATTTCTTTTCTTTTTTTAGGGAGGGCGAAAGGAAGTTTGTCCATTTGGATTTGATTTTATTACTCTTGAGGTGTAGTTAGCAGTTTAGTACTCCGTAGAATTGAAATATTGTTTTTTAAAATACTTTCTTCAATTCTAATTTTTTCTTTTATTTGTTTGCTTTCTATTTGCAGTGTCTCCAAATAATGTTTCTTTGTACTTCTAGATTTTTTTCTTTCATACTTGCAATTAGACCACTTGGAATCGATTTCCTAAACCGAATTATCCGAAACCAAAACCGAAATGATCTGAAAAGTAAAGATCTGATTTATAATCGAATAACCAAAATGATCCGAACCAAACCGAAACTGAATCAAATATATCCATACCCAATTTAAATCCGAAACCAATTAGGTCTGATTAGCCCCGAAATCGATTAAATTCGAAACCGGTTAAATTTGAAACTGATAAGACCCAAAACTGGTAAGATCCGAAACCGATAAGACTCGAAACCGATGAGATCCGAAACTGATTATATCCGAAATGGATTCTGCCTGATAATAAATGTATTATATTTATGTACCTTAGTGAATAATTACATTCATGTGATTTTAAATTTTTATTTTTCTTTTTCTTTTACCATTTGAACTAATTACATACTTATAAAACTTACTCCCTATGTACAAAATGAGTTACCATATCTAAACAAAATGTAGAATTTCATATGTTTTATTTTATTATTATAAATTAGTATAAAAATGAACAAGGCGGCGGTTCCCATGACATTGCTTAGCAATGTCAAGGGAACCAGGGTGAATGAACAATACAAGTTACATAAAAAATGCTAGTTAAATTTTCTACAAACTAGAGCACGGTTACAAATATTTTTTCCACCCCCCTCTCATGCAATATTGTGTGGTTGGCCAAACATGAGCTTTGAATTGTATTTACTTTTACTTAAATTTTATCTAATTGCATTCAATTTCACTCAATTTCAACATATTTTAACCAAATTGTATGTAATTTGGTTATCCAATAATATGAATTTTATATCAGAACTAAATATACTCTTATTTCATAATTCGTAATCCAAATTTACAGAAGATGACTAAAAAGATAAAAATAGGACATATTTAGGACAAAGGGAGTATAAAATAATATGAGGTGATGAATTGATGATGAATAAATAATTGTCATATGACAAAAATGTGCGGATAATTAAATTTTAATTCAAAAATAACATATATGCAAATATATACGAAACCAAAATATACCTAAATCGAAATATACTTGAATCAAAACTTATCCGACCTGGTAGGTATCCGAAACCAAAATCGATCCGAACCGATTGACATCCGAGCTGAATTTGAACCGACCCGGAACCAAAAAATGTATGGAACCGAATTAAATCCGAACCGAAATTAAACTGAACAGATCCGAACCAATTATAACATATATCCGAACCAAATTATTCCAAACCGGAACCAATCCGATTGATCCAATTGCCACCTCTACTTGCAATTGAATATTGTTTTAACTTCCATTAATATTTTAATCTATCGTTTCTGGTTTGCAAAGCATTTTTTTAAATTTTTGTTTACATTTTTTAAGCCTTCAAGTCTGGTATGTTATGTACTCTTCTTTGTATTTATGTTTATTTATGTGCTACCTTGAAACTTAGTTTTGTTAAGATAATGATATTTCATCTTCTAAAATTTTTGTTATCTTTATTGATATATTTACATTTTTTAAACAATCTATTACTCATAGTCATTATGATTTGTCGACTAATCATAGACTAGTCGGTAGTTTCATCGACTTGTCAACTAGCTTCTTCTTCAACGACCCGACTCGACTTGTCGACATGATAACCATGGTTACATTGCCTCACTTAATTTGTGTGTGTGTTGTGGTTTCATTGTGATGTTAGGTTTACTCACTATTTGCATACATGATGCTTGTATCACATGCCAGCCCAAAGTGTAGCGGAATTTCGTTCAGAAATAGCACATTATGATTTATATTAGATTATGGAAAACATGGCCACTATTATGATACATAGCAAGGCTGGGTGTCTTTAGTCATTACCAATTATTGCAGCCTAGCCACACATTTGTTTTCAATAGATGTTACTGTTAAAGAACCTCTTTTCTCTTTGAGTAATTACTTTCTCTCCGTTAGTGTAATCATTTACAGGAATACCCAAATTGTGTTGCAGATCTCTCGAAAGTGGACTCATTATATTACAACTTTATTGTTTTTTGGATTTGGGCTATGGTCATTATGGGATGCCATTAATGAGGGGTAACAGTTCTCGTGCACTCTGTTAGTTCTTTCTTTTACAATTTTTCAAACATATGTCATGGATCATATGATATGCTATTGAAATGTCATCATGTTTTACAATAGGGTTTCTGAAGAGTTTGCTGAAGTTGAAGCAGAACTGGTTTGCATTTTCCTTCTAACAACTTTCCACACAGGAAACTTTGTTTCTCTAACTACTCTGTTTTTTAGGATGCTGATGTCAATGCTAACAATGGAGCATCCAAAGGCAAGGATAAGAACGATAAGGTAAAGCTTAAAATACTTGCATTTTGTGGATAAACTAGCTTCCCTTGTGTTGTAATGGCAATCCAATGCCCATAAGAGAAAAAACAGGGCCATTGAGAATATATCAAGGTTCTGAAAACTGCTATTGAATTTCCTTAGTTTAATCCCTTAAGTTTTCTTTACCTTGTTATTTCCTTGATCATGTATCAATTTTGTCTTGATCCTTCATGCCCTTTTATTTTTATTTTTTTGAAAACCAAAGATTGCATTAAATTAATGGAATGATGAAATCTGGGGGTAAATGAACCCATTCACCCAAGCTCTGAGAAGAATGAGAAGCTCGCGCCAACACATGCGCTGCCTCATTAGCAGAGCGATATACAAACTGGAAGTAAAAAACTCCCCTACATGAGACAACAAGAGTTTTACAAGCATCAATAATTGAAGAGAAATAAGACCAATCTTGTGATGAATTATTGAGCCCATCTGCAACGTCTTTACAATCTGTTTCAACCTCCACGTGCGTCCATCCTCTCGATTTAATCCAACTAAGAGCTTCTTTTACCGACAATGCCTCTGCCTCCCTTGGACCACAATTACATCTAATGGTCATATTCTTTGCCGCCATGAAGCCTCCAAGGTCATTGCGAGCAATAAAGCCCATTCCCACCACTCCATCAACCAAACCCGTGGACGCGTCAACATTGACCTTTATGAAACCCGGCTGTGGTGGAACCCACATGCGTCTTCCACTACTCTGCAGATCCGTCGTTAATTGCGGCTTGGCCATAAGCCACCAATCATCAAAGTTCCTTTTCGCTTTAAGCCATGTACCCACAGGAGTAGGTTGCACTGCCTGCCATACCTTAGCATTACGAGCACCCCAAATCATCCAAAGAATGTGTAGTGCAAGGGCCTGGTCTTGTTGATTAAAAAGATTAAAAAGCTTCTCAAGCCAGGCTATAAAATTAGAGACATTAGGTGTGTACCAGCCAAGATCAGAAGCCATCCACACTTGTTTTGCAAATTGGCAGGTTATGAAGAGGTGGAAAACTGTCTCCTCCTCTTCTTGACAAAGTGTGCACACAGTCTGGATCGGGAGTCCTTTCTTCGCCAGAGACTTGAGCACAGGCAGAATATCATTAGCAGCCCTCCAAATCAGATTTCGGACAGTAGGTAATGTGCGTACCTGCCATAACTTCCGCCAAACAGATGATCTTACACTGCCCACTGCTAGATTTTGATCCCATGTAAGCATCCGATATGCGCTCTTTACACTGTAGAGACCTGATTGGTTCCAAGCCCAAATTTGTTTATCCACATGAGAAGTTTCCACCAGTGGAATGGATTGAATAAGCCGGCGGTCCCTAGCCTCGAAAAGTTCATCTATTATTTGCCAATCCCAAGCGCCATCCTTTATGATATCCGAAACCCATTGAATATCCGGTCGTCCTGGGTTTTGAGTTAAAATCCATGGGTGGTTTTTATCTCCAAGCCATGGATCCTCCCAAATGCGAATAGAAGTTCCATTCCCAACCTTCCAACAAATTCCCTTTCGTAGAACTACCTGGGCTTCCAAGATACTTCGCCAAACATAACTCGGATTGGAACCAATATTTGCATCCCAGAAGCTCGATCCTCGAAAGTACTTTGCTTTGAAAACCTTGGATACAAGAAGATCCGGTTGCTGGATAAATTTCCACGCCATCTTTGCCAACATGGCAAGATTGAATTCTCTAACTTTTCGAAAATTAAGGCCCCCCGAATACTTGTGTCGACTTAGTTTGTCCCAACTCATCCAATGGATACTTCTGTTATGTTGAGGGCCCTTACTCCACCAAAACCTAGCCATAAGGCTTTGTAGTTCATCACACATAGTCTTAGGAAGCAAAAACATTGACATGGCATAGGTAGGGATTGCATGGAGAACAGACTTAAGGAGAACTTCTTTCCCTGCTTGTGATAGAAGCTTGTTTTTCCACGAATTAAGGCGTTTCCAAGTTTTGTCTTGGATGTACCTTAGAACCTCTCTTTTATTCCGTCCTATTGCTGCAGGAAGACCAAGATACCGCCCTAAGTTATCTTTCTCCATAATCCCGAGAGTGGCACAAATGATACCTCGTTCCGTGGCGCCTGTATTTGGGCTAAAACAAACTGCAGACTTAGAGAAATTAATAAACTGCCCTGAGGCTGCAGCATAAGTGGACAGAGCTGAGTGAATCTTTTGTGCCTGAGTGTTCAAAGCTCTGAAGAAGAATAGGCTATCATCTGCAAAAAATAGGTGGCTGATCTCTGGGGCTTCACGTGCAACTCTGCATCCTGTAATCTCTTTCCCATCCACTGCATGTTGAATTATACGTGATAGACCTTCTGCTCCAATGATAAATAAGTAAGGAGAAATGGGATCCCCTTGTCGAACACCCCTCCCCGGGACAATGGGGCCAAGGCATTTATCCCCATGTCGAATTGTGTAAGAGACTGAATTTGCACAACTTAACAAAAGAGTGACCACCCTCGTGTGAAAACCCATAGCTCGTAGCACACCCTCCAAATAAGACCACTCCATTCTATCATATGCCTTACTCTTATCAATCTTCATAGCTGCCCAACCTACTTTTCCCCTCTTATTCCTGATGCAGTGCAGTGTTTCAAAAGCAATGGCACAACAGTCATGTATATCCCTGCCCGCTATAAAGCCACTTTGAGTCGGTGAAATAATCTTTGGCAAAAGAGTTTTCAATCTGGTTGCCACCATTTTACTCATGATTTTGTAGAGGACTCTACAAAGGGCAATTGGTCGCAAGTCACTCATTTCCTCTGGTTGAGATTTCTTAGGAATGAGCACAATCTCCGTGACTCCCAAGGTCTTTGGGATAAGCCCCATATTGAGTTGCGTCACACAGAACTGAGAAACTTCAGGTCCAATAATGTCCCAAAAGCGTTGATAGAAACCGGGGTTAAAACCATCCACCCCTGGTGCTTTGTCTGGGTGCATAGAAAACACAGCTTTTTTCACTTCCTCAACCGTATAAGGCTGCAGCAAAAAAGCATTATCTTCACAGGAGACAGAAGGTGGGATAATCTCAGTTACAACTTGGTGTGCACCATTTTGAGGTGTGAATAGTTTGACAAAATACTGCACAATGATGTCCTCTAAGCCATTATTCCATCCACGCCAGGTACTAGTTTCATCTTTAAGTTTTTCAATTTTGTTTTTCCTTTGCCTATCTGTTGCTTTTGCATGAAAATATTTAGTGTTCCGATCACCTTGTTTTAACCAAAACACTTTTGCTCTTTGCTTCCAATACTGCTCCTTTTGATATAGTAATTCGAAAAGTCGTTTATGAGCTCTTCTGAAGGTAAGACGGCTTTGGTGGTCCCTACGACCTCTTGCTCTGTTCATGTGAGTTCTCATGAGTTTAATTTCTGCAGCAAAACTATCACGCCATTCATCCCCCCACGCCTTCAATCTTTCTGAACACAGCCTTAGTTTTTCTTCAAGGCACTGGGACTGAAAGAAATTCCAGCAATCCATCATCAAAGATCGGCAGGCCGGGTCTTTACCCCAGGAGTTCTCATATCGAAAACGATGAGCTTGATGCTTTGGGATCCATACCTTCAGTTGCACACAGATGGGTAGATGATCTGATGAAGAGAAGTCATATGTGGTAGCTCTTGCCAAAGGAAACTTCTGCCTCCATGAAGCCGAAGTTAAGAAATGGTCCAGCTTCTCCTCCACACGTGAATTGTCATCCCTTCCATTGTCATAGGTAAAATTGTATCCAGACATGGGAAGTTCAGATAGCCCAGCATCAAAAATGGCACTTTTGAAAGCTTCCATGAGATATTGAGGTTTAGGCAACCCCCCTCTCTTTTCTGATTGATCAAGAATGGAATTAAAGTCTCCTCCACAGATCCAAGGCAGTGTATTAACTTGAGCCAATTCTCGCAAGAGATCCCAAGTGGTATTCCTTCTTGCTTGATTTGGATGGCCATAAAAACCTGTGAATCTCCAGCTGCCAAGGGTAGGATCAGTAACAACAACATCAATATGAAAACGGGATGTAGACAATAAGGATACTTGCATAGGAAATTTGCAAAGGAATGCTAAACCTCCACTATGACCATTTGCATCAACAGAGAAATAACAATCATAACCCAAGATCATTTTTATTTCATCAATCCGCTTGGAATCACATAAGGTTTCAATAAGAAAAATAAAACATGGCTTGATATCCCTTACAATAGTTTGTAGGGTATAAACTGCTCGTGGGTTGCCAAGCCCACGACAGTTCCAACTAATACAACTCATTCCATTAGGCGGGCCTGTGACACAGGTCCCGCCTCCAACACGTTTTTTGGGTCTGTTTCCATTGATTGGTGCTGCCCCGGGTTTTCCCTTTCCTCAATAAGGACCTTCCTCTTTTTTGGATCTGAGATCACCATCGCTGCCATTTGCATAGCACCACCTTCCAAAACGATCTGCCTTTCTTTTGTTTCACATACTTTAGATGACAGTTGGGTACATGTAGTGAGCTTGCTCTGGTGTATCCCCATGGCTGTACTCCCTGGTTCAGTCTCCTTTTTATGCACAGGAAGCTCATCACGCAGCCATTTGGAGCCAATACTATTTACAGGTTTACGTGATTGAGCACGCAATTCCGGGCCATAGTTGCGAGCAATCTCTTGACCCCAATTCTTTAAGACAGTTGGGCAAAACCTTTCCCCATGGCCAAGACAACCACACACAAAACAAAATGTTGGGAGACGCTCATAGGCAAAGGAAACGTGAAACCATTCTTCCCCTTCTTTCTTCATCTTCGTGCCTTTCCGTAGAGGTTTGCGGACATCCACTTTCACGCGTATTCTTAGATAGGTGGCCCAAGGGTTGGAATAATTCTTTGGATCTGATTCCATGAACTCCCCTATTTCAGCACCCAAACGTTGAGCCACCCGATCAGAGAAAAAGCCCCTTCTTAGCCCATGCACCTGTACCCATATAAACATATGGTGCAATGGTACATCCCGAGGATCCTTATGACCATCCAGACGATCTAGGATCAAGAGTTGATTTTTAAACGTCCAAGGGCACATATCTAGTACCCTCTTCAGTTCCACCTCCGCACCAAATTGAAATACATATAGCCCATCTCCCATCTCTCTTGCCGTCATTCCTTCTTCTGGACGCCAAAGGGAAGCCATAGTGTTCTTCATGGCAACAAAATTTACAGGCCGTTCTGTCAAAAAATGCCCAACAAGGCAAGAGTCGAACACTACTGCAGGTTCCTTTGCGCAATCGTCTATGTCAGTGAAAACTATACCTTCATCACCATCGTCTCCAAGGGAGAGCGAGGCTATGCCAACATGCTCTTGTGCCTCTTCCATGTCTGATCTCGAAGAAAATAAAACCCTAGCCGCAAGACGAACAAACTCTCAAAACAGAGAGACGAACTATTACTCTACATGTTTTATAAAAATCACATTTGATGAAAACTTCTCTCAAAAACAGACTGAAATTACTGGGTCGAGCCGGGAGGAATTGACCTTTTGAGTTCCCCTTTTATTTGACTTGTCTTTTTACTGTAATTTGTTTTGGGTTTTCTTTCGATTCCTTTTGGGTCTTCTCTTCATGCTCTGTCCTGGATTATATTCAACATGCTAGAAAAACAGCTATTTTGAATATTTGATCTATTTTATAAGTTTCCCTTTGTTTTTTCTATTAATGTTTTTCCATGGTTTCTATACATTTCCCTAAGAAAAAAAAGTGGTATAGAATCTGTTTTTTCCAGGCTGACTGTTTTTATTGCACATGATAAAGTTATGCTTCTTCTAGGTTTTTGAAGATTCAAAAAAGCAGAGGAGGCCAGTTCTCACTCAATTTTTTTCGCCGATCCTTCTAAAGGTTATACACCATTGGATTTGCACATGTTTCATTCGAGAGAATCCATCTGCGAATGACACACTTTTTGTCCTTATTCTGCAGGCATTTTCAATTACATTTTTTGGGGAATGGGGTGACAAGAGCCAGGTAGTTCATGTTATACACATCTATATACAACTTCAAACATCAGTAATGTTCACAGAATGCAAATTCAACAATGCATGTGCCACCTTTTCAGATTGCTACCATTGGTCTTGCTGCCGATGAGAACCCATTAGGTGTTGTTCTTGGAGGAATAATGTAAGTTATTCCTTTTTTAAAGTCACTTATTGGCATGTGCGAATTTTAAGACATGAGATGATGAGAAGGGAGTGAACCTTAGAGCATCCCTAGTCATTCCCCCATATTTCCCTCCACATCGTCATTTTTTGATGTCGCATCACTTTGCCCTTCAACTTTTCTCACCCCACTCTAATCATTCCTCTACTTTTTCTCTTACATGTCGGCCCTCGTGTTTTTTATCAAAAGTCTCCGGAGTATTCATTTTATGTTTTTTTTTGTTTTTTCACCATTACGTTGAAAGAGATGCTCCATCTTATCATCAATCCATTTTCTTTGTTGTGGAAATCTTCAATTTGGTTGCTTCAATTCTTTTTCGTTTTTGTTTTTTCACCATTTCGTAGGCACAGTGAACACGAAATAAAAAAAATTAAAATATCGTTTGCCATCCTTAATAAATTTTCTTATAAACCAGAGTTTATTTTATACTCCCTCCGTCCATAAAAGAACTTCCCGGTTTGACCGGGCACGCAAATTTATGTGTAATGAAAATTGTATTGACTTTCCCATTATACCCCTCAACATATTTGTCCTCTCCACCCGCCATAAGCCATCTACAGCTGTTGCTAATGCCGGCGGAGGTTCACCGCCGACCACTCTTCGACACCACTGTCCCCCACCCGCTGCCGTCACAGACCTGCAATCCCCTCCATCCCAACCCCCTTCGGTCTTCACCGACTCCTCCCTACACACTACCCAATAACTACAACCTCCCTCCTTCCTGTACGGGTTGAACGCCCGCCGACGAACCTCCATCTAGATCTTCCCCTTCATCTGGCATATTAAAAGAATAGATCTGAAAATTGTAAATACAAATTAGAAATAAT